ATGCTTACAAAACAAATTGGCGGCCAAGGTCGAAACTGTTTGTCATGCTCACCACAGACTGGACGAACAAACAGAGCTACTTGATATAATATTTATTTATAAAATTATCATTAAGTACGAAAGAAATATTAGTGTCGTGGTTATTGTAACCGTGAGGTTGCACTGATAGATTTTCACAAAAAAAAAACATGTTTTAAACACTGTTTTCTGTCAATGTATCACAAAGCGTTTGCATAGTCATGGAACATGTTGTAGAGAAATATGTTTAACACTACATTACATATTTTAACCATTTAAATCTCTATAACTACAGAAACAACATGTTCGAAAACAAATTTGTAGAAATATTGTCATGTTGAAAGATAAGTTTGAATATCTGTTGAAAATTTTACACAGTTTTTGTGAGTGCGAACGCCACCATAAACAAAACATGTTGTGTGATTTATTTTATGCGATTTGTTTCAAAACATGTTGGATGTTTTTCGGTGCAAACGTAGGGTAATGAAATGAAACATATTAAAGCATTCCTTTCATCGTAAAAGAAACGGAGCCGTGGTAGCTCTGATGGTTAGCGCTCGCTGTAAATTTCACAGTACACGAGTAACCCGAGTTCGATCCCCGCGGGCACCAACGACATTTTAATTGCAATTTTAAGTGCTGATTTATTACGTGCTCGGCGGTAAAGGAAAATATTTTACACAACCTGCATATCTAAGAAATAAAAAAAATATTGCGAAAACATGTGAAGTTCGCCAACAACAAAATTCTCTCAGAAATGAGAGGAGGCCTGTGCCCAGCAGTGAACGTATATAGGCTGTAACTTTAACTGACTTTAAAAGAAACGGCGAAAGAAACTTAGCAACCAATCTTTTTATCACCTTTTTTCTGTTAATTTTGTGATTTCATATCATAGCGGCTGCTTGTCTCTACCACGTAAAAATATAGGAGACCTGTTCCTAGCACAGAACACCCAACCAGTTGTCTGTGGTTCCCAGGAACCTCTATATCGCCTGTGTTATTACTTTTTCCTAATAACAGAGAGACCGATGTATAGCAGTGGACTTTGCGAGCTGATGGGATTGAGGACGTTACTTTTACTTAAATGTAACTTTACTTTTAAGTTGTAGAAGTATTTTTAAGTTTTTTTTATGTGGTAGAGCCATGCTGCAAGTATATTATACTTATAGCACTAATGGGTCGGCTCGACCGGGGAAGGACAACGCTTTAACGGAATACCAGCGTAAAATAGCCGCTTAATGCTGTTGTTTCTTGTGGTGAGCGTAGAGAACCGGAGATCTCTTCTGTAAAAGAGGCATTCCATTAAGTTTTAAGGGGTGACAACGCATCTTCATTCAGAATATTTTTTGAGGATACATGTGGATGTCTATGGGCCACAGCATCCACTCACTCTGAGATGGACTGTATGTTTGTTTGTCACCCTTATTTTATAACAAAAAGTTTAATTAGAAGCAACACTCTGTCCTGCAATGCCTACATTGATCAACGAGCATAGCGTCGTATAACATCTTTTTTTAATAAATATTTCATGTATATTCCAAGAATCGTTTGGTAAAAGAATTCGCACAAAGTAGACTTCTCAGAAAACAATGTTAAATATGAAAGCAGAATTATAATTTCTAATTTGTAACCTTATACACGACTGTAGCTCAGTTTCGATGAAATCGCGAATATTATTTACATTAGATTACGTTGACCGCAATAACTTTGTACCTAATTGATAAAAACGCCTTATTACAATAGCAAAATACAATTACTTTTCGATTTTTATCCATTCTGAAGTAAGTTTAGTTTATCTTGAATTGAAACGATAGATTAATAAAACTATATTTAACATTATATATATATATATATATATATATATATATATATATATATATATATATAAATATATATAATATTGAAAGTCACTTTTTTTAATTTACCACTGATTCGGAAAAAAACTTCTGTACCGGGAAGAACCAGTAAGTTACCCAGATGGACTATTTTTTAAAAAAAAATAACAGCTTACAGTCATGTATGTTGCAATTAACAACACACAAAAATAGAAATACCTTGGAAGCGATCACCCTTCCCATATCATCCATAAATGCCTTAATATTCTAATAGTCCTTTTTATACAAACTTAGTTAAATAAAGATTTTGAGCTTTGTACAGGTTAAATTTTGTATATTTTCTGGGATTTTGTTGTAAAAGCGTATAAATCGCCCCAAGAATGTGTTACTGACTCGATAGAGTCGAGTAACCGACACTAAGAGCTTTGTGATTTTTTCGAAGATCTTAAAAAGACCCTCCATTTTTGAATATAAGGCTCATAGATGGTCTCATAGGGGAATATTGCCTTATATATATATATATATATATATATATATATATATATATATATATATATATATATATATATATATATATATATATATATATATATATAAAGTGTTTATCTGTAATATAAAAATAACTGTATTTTATTGAGCTTTTTATGCATTAATACATGAATAACAATTTTTAATGTTTTTGTGTCTGTCTGGTCGTTACTCCGGGCTACTCTTCGGATGGACTGCACCGATTTTAATAACCTTGATGATCAGGGAGCGACGCCAGGAGTAATCTAGGTTATATTTTATCCGAAAAACTTAGATATTTTTTAGGAATCGAAAAATTGATAAGATAAATGGTGTTTGACAATTATTTAAATATCAATAATGCCACATTAAGATTTTACTTAAACGAAGCCGCGGCGGTTCCCTAGTAATAGTCTATAAAAATAAATAAAATTATAGTGTCTGCTGGTAATGCCAAAATAACAGCTTTTACTACATGCATATGAAACACTGATCACTAATAATACAACATATGAAAGTATGTAGAACGTGAGGGTAGTATGATCATCCTGTTAATATTGTCACTTTCTCATAACTCTAAAACTACGAGTACAGCCTTGTTTAGATAGATGGCTTTGTGATACGATAGCTCTTAATCGGTTAATCAAATACTAAAGGGTCAAAAGGGCGGGGCTTTGTCGACACCATTTTGACAGTTGACATTAGAGTGAATATTTTGGTCGATTTTAGTATGGTGTAGTGTAGTTAGTTTTTGTAAGTTATAGTATATGACTTTATATTTTGTCCCTGTTCTCTTCCTAGTTTTTGATTTTATTGGGTGAGAAATATTACCCTCACGTCACGTACCTTATACGATATTTATAACAAAAAAATTGTTTCTGTCTATCTGTTCCAGCTAATCTCCTCAACGGATGGGCCGATCTCGACGGTACTTTCGCTGGCAGATAGCTGACGTTATATTGAGTAACTTAGACTACTTTTATTTTGAAAATAGAATCAGGGTTCCACGCAAAATCCAATCCAATCCAATCGTAATAACTTAGACGCGGACGAAGTAGCGGGGAACAACTAGTAATATAATGATATTAAAAAGGTCTAAGCTTTTTATCAACACTAGGAACAAACATAAGCTGGTGCTACCAGTTTCTAGACTCCACAGAGTCAGTAATTCACTCTTGGGGCAATGTATACGATATTACAACAAATTCCCAGAAAATATACAAGGCCTCTCTATTACCATTTAAATAAAAAAACCGTATAAAAAGGGTTATTATGATATAAATAAATACATGGTTGATAATAACCCCTGGGAATGAGGTGGTCGCTTCCAAGCTGTGTCTAAAATAAATTTTGTAAATATTTTGTGACCATTCACATTGTAAAATTTATTTAAAAAAAAGTGCCGCTGGGTTTCTTGCTGGGTCTTCCCATGACAGAGGTTTTTTTCGAATCAGTGGTAAAGTAAAATATTGACTTTCAATAAGAATTACTTGTAATCTATATTGAATAAAAACAAATTATTTAAATTACATGTGTATGTTACAACATTTCTCGAAATAAATGGTATCGGTTGGGAAAAACCGGTGTCGACATACTGCAGCCATATTAGTTGCAGCGCGAAGGTGGCTCGACCGGGGTTGGACCACGCTCTCACAGAATACCATCCACTGTTTTTAATGAAATAGCAGCTTAACGCTGCTGTGTTTCGTATGGTGAGTGTAGACAATCGGAGATCCTTTTTACTGGAAACGAGGCATTCCTAAGTCATCAGGGATGACAACGCATCTGCCTTTGGATTCTTAAATGAGGATAATTGAACCACAGCATCCACTTACCATCAGGTGGACTGTGTGCTTGTTTGTCACCTCTATTCTATAAAAAATGAATTATAATACCTTTTTTAGTGAAACGCAAGGCGATGGACTGTCAGCTATCATGACAGAAATGATTCCGTCCTAATAAATAAACTAATGTACTTGAAACGATTAATCAATTTTATCCGTAATTAATTTTCCTCAACTGTTGTTTATAATCGTTAGTTGTAGCCCAGCAACCGTTCTTAATTACAAGACGTCACCTCCAAAAATCGAATACACGAAGGTTCCTATGTTTGTTTTATTATTTTTGACAATTATTGTTAGTCCTATTAATCCTAGCAATATATATTAAATTAATAATTGAGAAATTAAATTATTAAAAATAAGATGTGAATTTATTATAAAATTAAATTAATTATTAAAAAAAACAATTAATCGTAAATGTTTAAGACAATGTAATGTCATTTTTCTCCTAAAGAAAACTGAAAATATAGAGTACAAGTTTCATAAATTTTCTTAATGAAAACTCTAATGAAAGGTATAAATTATTCTTTTCAAATATCTGAATTTTTTTTTGATATTATTGATTACAAACTGGGCGTCTTCAAGCTTCAAGGCAAGGCAGGATGTTGTTACGTGAAATTGCTACAATGTCTCTGTTATTTATATCGATTTATCACTAATTGGGATTGCAGTCAAATACTGGCTTACAATAAGAAAAAAGAAATCAAATTTTCTCTTTTTAGACTTACACTATCGGCCGTTACGTTGTAAAATGTTACTGTATATCAAAAACTCTTCAAACAGTACATATCTTAACTTGTTAGTTCAGTTGAAAAGTTAAGTTACCTCTTATTTCGGCAATATGCGAGTCGTATTCAGATTTACTGCGTAGATACTCCTTCCTCGGCGCAGTTTGCAGTGCTTGTTGCTTGTACTCGGAGTACCACTCGTGCTGAGGGGAATCCGGCCTGTCTTCGCTTCGAGTGTCGACTGTCCGCTTCAAGGACACCCGTTCGAACTTGACAAAGCGGACACCGGAGGCGAGATCGCCCTCCTCGATCTGCCTCTCGATCCGCTCGATCTCCTCCACGGGCTCCACGTGCCTCAGCCTCACATTCTGTAAAGTTGTCTCTTGGCTCTTCGTCGGCGACTCGGTGTCGCGGGTTTGTTTGAGTTTGACGTCGATTTTCGGTGACTCCGGCCGCCGTTTGCGCTGCTCTAGGCGGCGCTCTATCTCCTCTACATTGGCTGTAGAGTCTACATTGTCTCTACTGCCTCTCCCTTTCCACACTCTCTCGAAGAAGCTTACGCGGTTTCGTAATCCGCTTGGTGGCGGCGAATCGCGGTCGTCGGACATCGCGACATGACCTCACTCCGTGGAGTCTCGCTCGATACTGGTTGATTTGATATTAAGTTTAAGTTGTAGAGGCACGGAGGCACGGAGGTCGTCGTGTCCCCGCATGCGCCTCTCGCCACGCCAGACGTCCCCTAGACAGAACTTAAACCCTTAACCAACTTTAAAAAGCTTAAATTAATTCTTTAGTTTACAGTGTTTGTGACTTAAAAATTATTTAATTGATCTGGCATTGAACAATATATTATATTTAAATATATTTTTTGTAGTTAAGTGTAGAGATAAAAAATAAATAATAATAAAAATGTATAGCAATGATTATAAGCACAGCCGATTACAAATATACATAGATAATATAATTATCTTAAAGTTGTATATTAAAAAATATATAATTTTCTCAATGATTATATTTAGATAAAAAAAGAAAAACGTTATCGAAATACAAAATTGTTATTAGCGTTAAAGTTGTTTACGAGAAACCAATTAAAAAATAAATAAATGTAATTAAATAATTTATTAATTAATTAATTAATAATATACTTACACAAGAATTACCGACTTAAAGTACCTATAGGATATTTTAATTTAACAAACGTGGTAATAAACCTTTTTTTTTCGCTTCACTCGTGCGCTAACTTTACACGGTTTAATAATCGGCTACTTAATTTCCGTATATCGTACATTATTTTATAGTAGAAGTGACTTAAATCCACTTTTTAAATGAAAAATTATAGAATATTAAATGATTGTACAGACAAAAATCGTGTCGGAGCAAGCAAGGCAGCAGTGATCCCTCTGTATAAGAATTACAACATCAATCTAAAGATTTCATTAAACGGGACCAAAGGCGCAACGAGACTCTATTTACAGAAGTTTTGTATGATCCAGATGTTGGCTTATGTGTGAATGATTTATAAAACCTGAATTCGCAACGGTCTTATTTTTAACAATTGTAATGTGACGGTGAATGGTAGTAATATTAATTGTGTTTTTATAATTGTACTTTAAAAAATACAGTTCAAGCTAAACATGTACAAAAAATTTGAATGACTTTAAGTCAAGTATTTTTTTTTTATTTCATGATCGAATGATTTAATGTTTTGTTTGTAATTTAAAGTATTCTAATAGATGTTACTAATTAAAGTTCTATTGTTCTGTATTTATTATCAATAATGTTTAAACTTTTTAAAAAAATACTATAAATTATATGCATGACTTAAGTAAAACAAACCGTACAATAATTGGCTAGTTAAGTCCTGAAAGAGCGTGATTTGAAAGTCATTTTAAGTCACCATGTACTAAAAATATTTTTAAGCAATTTAAGTCTTAATCGGCTCATAAACAAACTCGTTTAACTCATCATAAAACGATTACACTTTACAAAGGAATGCACAATCTCAATGACATGCCATTGTTGATAAAATGTCGATTTGTAACGATAACAAAACGGCGAAATACACATTGTTGCTTGTCGCATAGTTTTGCGTTAAAAAACGTTACCGCTTGTATACGTTCCACGGCTGAGATCTCTCAGGAGAAGGTTTTAGGGCTGGAAATAGTCTTGTTCACCAAATGTGTTTTTTTTTTATAATATAGGGTGACAAACGAGCACACAGTCTACTTGATGGTAAGCGTAAATACGAATCAAAATGCAGATGCGTTGTCACCCGTGAGGGCTAAGATGGAACGCCTCGTTTCCAGTAAAAAGGGTCTCCGGTTCTCTACACTCACCATACGAAGCACAGCAGCATTAAGCTACTATTTTACGCTGGTATTCTGTGAGAGCGTGGTTCTTCCCCGGTCGAGCTAACCCATTCGTGCTACGACTATACTACTAATATATTATATATACTACTACTAATATATACGTATTACATGCGTGTTAGTGAACTTCTCAAATCTTCGAAATTTTTCATGGTAAAGCTACGCTGCACCTATATTATAGGTGTAGCCCGAATTGGTCGGCTCGACCGGGGAAGGATTACGCTCTCACATAATACCAGTTTAAAATAGCAGATCTATGCTGCTGTGTTTCGTATGGTGAGTGTAGAGAACCGGAGACCCTTTTTACTGGACACGAGCCATTTCATCTTAGTCCTCACGGGGACAACGCATTTGCATTTTAATTCTTAATCAAGAATTAATGTATGTTAAATAATTTTTCATTTTTTTATAGAATTAGGTTTGCAAACGAGCACACAGTCCACCTGATGGTAAGTGGATTCTGCGGTTCATAGACATCTACATTTATCTTCGATTAAAAATTGAAATGCAGATGCGTTGTCACCCCTGAAGACTATAATGGAGTGCTTTGTTTTCAGTAAAAGCGCATCTTTAATTGATTATTATTACTAATAATTAATGAATTATTATCTTTAATTAATTTATTATTATTATTACCTAATTTATTAAATAAGTTATCCTTTTCGGGTGTACCCCTAGAATAGGGCTAGATTTTTATGCAACTATTTAAAAGAAATTCAAGGTGTAACCGTGAAATAGTGATGATTCATTTGTATACTAATAAGAGTAAAAAAAAATCAAGTTGATATAACTGCAATTATTATCAAACAACTGCATGGAATATACAGCATATTTTACACGTTTTGTGGCTTATGGACGCCACACACGGTCAGTTCAAATGATCATTCCAAAAGATCAGTTCAAACTAAATCTGTTGATGTTTTTTTTAAAATATTGAGTTTTCAATATATCGATAATTATGAATTTTTTGACTGCCTCGTTGGTCTAGTGGTTGTAATAGTGCGACTGCTGATCATGAGGTCCTGGGTTCGAATCCCGGGTCGGGCCAAAAAATCAGTTATTGAGTTTTTCTGTCAAGAAATTCTCAGTAGCTACCCGTAGTCAGGAAGTTGGCGGTGTCTCACTGCCGTGCCTCGGAAAGCACGTAAAGCCGTTGGTCCCGCGCCTGATCTCTCGCCGGTCGTGTCGGTTTACCGTCCCATCGGATTATGAGAGTGAGCGAATAGAGAGTGCACCTGTGCTTGCGCATGCACTTGGGCACTATAATCCTGTCCTGCGCCGATGGCTAGCCTCCGTTGAGACAGGCCGCCTTGGTCGAAATTCGGTCTGGAGGACATTATTAATTATGAATATATCAATATCGGAGTTTTATACATAAGTTTATTTATTGATATATCGAAAATCCAATATTTAAAAAAATATCAACAGTTTTAGTTTGAACTGATCAGTTGGAATGATCAGTTGAACTGACCGTGTTTGGCGACTATTAGTTTGGTCAAACACTCAAGGTAGAGACGGATGAACTTTAAATCTTCCCTTCGTCTATATATAAGAGATTTCCACCTGTGTACTGACTCATCACGAAATTTCTGGAACCATAAGGCCTAGAGACTTGAAATTTGGTATGTATATTCCTTTTGCCGAGTAGACGTCAGCTAAGAACGGATTTTACGAAATCTCAACCGCAGGTGAATTGCGGTGGCGTTAATTTAAAAAAAATACATTTTAAAATAGGTGTAAAACTTGGCCGGCATATTCTTATTGGCATATTAAATTACCAAAAACAGATTTTATTAAATTCCACCAGGGCAGTGCGGGGGCGTTAATAATAATAAAAAAATTTAACTTTAAATCGATTGCTCCTAGAGGTTTGAAATTTGGCGAAATTATTAATTTTGCCATCTTGAGTTCTACTGAGAACGAATTTTACGAAATGCCACTCATGAAGGGGGTTGCGGGGGCGTTACAATGAAAGTAAAAATAATTATTATTTATAGTTCGGGCTATAATGAATAATAAAATTAATCAGTAGAATTTTTGTGGGTGTATTTGAGTGGATTTCTGTATGGTTTAAAAACTCAACTGGACCCGATGGATGGCGCTGTTGTCGAGATCCAGAAATTACCCGTGCGAAGCCGGGGCGAATTGCTAGTATTCATATCTTATAGTAAGCACAATACCATGTAAGTAATGTATCTAATCTGTAAATTATACAGTATCTAACAGTTTATTCTACGAATTAACGATTAATCATTGGTAATCAGCCTTATCAGTTTTTTAGACCCCAATTATTATGTCATTAATAAGTGTTAGTAGAGTCGTATTAGTAATTAGTAAATTGTGCTAATACAATCACAAATCACGTACATTAACATAAAAGTACCCATTAATTTAATTTTCAGTCAAACCAAGTTTCAGTTTTAAAATTAGGTAAGTCTTAAATGTCTTGAAGTCAATGACATTCGTTATTTTGTTTTTCATTTTTCTTGAAGTACGATCTCAAGAAACATATTTATATAATATTTATTATCTATATCTAGCAATATACTACTGATTGACTGACTCATCGCGAGATCTCTAAAACTCGATTGACTTGAAATTTGATATAGTTACTCATTTCGCAATGTAGACGCTCACTAAGAACGGATATTACGGTAATCTCAACCAAATATTTTTTATTATATAATATGGGTGACAAACGAGCACACAGTCCACTTGATGGTAAGTGGAAAAGGGTCTCCGGATCTCTACACTCACCATACGAAACACAGCAGTATTAAGCTGCTATTTTATGCTGGTATTCCGTGAGAGCGTGGTCCTTCCCCAGTCGAGCCGAGCCATTCGAGCTACAACCATAATATAGCTGCAGAGTAGCTCTACCACGTATGAATTTGTTAATATTTTACATCTACGAGTAGGTTCCGCAATAAAATATTATATATTTGATACACAATAAAATAATAACAGAACAATTATTATTTTACCGTTTGACTATTTACATAGGTAAGTCAATAGTGAACAGTGCTACAATTTCCAATGGTGTTAAGTTCGAACAGAAGAAAGGTTACTTTGAATGAGGCACCAGACGTTTATCTTTATAATCTCAATTGCAAGGAGCGTCGCTAAGCGCGTCATCTAAGAATTCAATTTGCTTTCATTACGAGTACCTGCGTATTACTCCACAGTTCGCCCCACAACGGCAGAGCAGCTCCCTCGCATCGTGAAAGTTGTTAAAAGAT